TTTTTCTCCGAGAATATCTTTCATTACTATGTAAAACCCAATGAGTAGGCGAGATACGTTCCGACTTCTTCTCATCAAGCTGTTCTCAGTTGATCCTTACAATCGATAGGATGATGCGCCACACAGTAGCTATGCTAGGCCCAGTAGACCTCTGTTTTAATCCACACGCCAGCATAGATGAGGATTCGCATGAAAGGCATTCTCCTTCACACTAGTGGCTGCTTTCTAAAGAGAATAATGCATTGGAAAGTGAATTCTGCAGTACTTGCTTATTCCCAGATATTTTGACCACTTAGAATATCTAAATGTGAGGTAACGTAATGTGAGTAACGCACACCAATATTATTTATTTCCCCGCATAGAGGTGGCAGCATCCCTGTGGTCCGTGATGGGAAGTCCAAGTGATACAGTCATGTGTCACTTCGTTTCTTCTGCTCGCCCCAACACAGTACCTACTGACGGTGAGGACTTTCATTCAGAGCTGATCTGCGCTTTCGGTGAAATGTCTCCTCCCAGAAAAGATGGTAGAAGTGTGAAATTAGATTCTTTCACAATTTGATGCCAGTGCCGGCTGAAAAGCCACACTTTATCCAGCTTGGTAAACGGGTTTCACCTAATTTCTTGTAGTGATAAGCAGTCAGGAGGCAAATAGTCAACCATATAAAAAGGACCCATTGAATGCAAACTGCGCAAATGATGATACCAAGTGAACCTACAGAACGTCATGTGTTGCGCTTTGATACAACTCAGGTAGTTTACTTGTAGCTCTCGAGCCCAGGTCTGTGCATTCTGTCGGTGAGGTGGTCCACCTGAAGCAGGTTCTACTGTCACAAGTATGGTAATGTTTTCTAAGATTCGCCAATGGTTCGGGCAGATGGTCGCGATAAGTCTCCTGAGTTTATTAAACTGGAGACAATTTTAGAATCGATTGGTTTAGCCAAATTAATTTTCTGATAGTGTGATTCAATCGTTAAACCACGGCATGTTTTCCTTTAAATATTTGCTGGATACACAGAGTTTGCTTAACTCATTTTGTGTGTTTTTCACATGGAACTTTGTTCCAGAATATGCTCGGTAGTCCTGCCGAAAAATATTGCTCCGAAATTAACATGCAAAGCAGGACCACTACGATATTTTACCAAAAATGAACATGATGGACAACATTTCATCGAAGTCGGACATTTGCAGAAGATCCGTAGAATGCGCTCTGATAAACGCGTAAATGCCATTATATGGAGACAACCAGAGAAAAACTGCTTTAATGTGCGATGCGGCTCTCTGAGACTAAAGCGTCTTATTTTCCCGGTCTAATTAGAAAAAGCCTTACGATACTCTGAACAAAGTGCTTGCTGTAACGCCTTGTTAGAAGAAATGAGGACTGGTAAAGTCAACAATATTAGGATTTTTTAAATTTCACCCCAGGGGGAAACTCGGTGAATTGTTGATAATGGATAGTGCCAAATGTTGAGCCGACACAGGGGTCAAGTAAAATTCTGGTAATGGAAAAGGCTATTCAACGAACTGTTGTTAACTTTGCTGATCCGCAGGCAGTCTGCGAATAGGAATGCTTGAAATTTTGACCGCTTCTGTCGAGGTGAATCTTCTTCGGCTCCTTCCCTCCACTGCGGTTATACAACCTCATGACACGTATTCCATGATTGTAAGTTTGACTATTTACTATATTTGTCTATTTACTGTACTTATTTCATTTTACTTATTATTGGAAACTTTCTCATTAAGGGACGAATTCTTTGAGGCCGATCTGTCCAAGTCTGAAGTTTTGGAATGCTAAGGAATCGCGTAGTGCACCAACCTCAGCAACTAACTGTCTTGTCTTCTCGAATAGAAATATTTTGGAGTTAAACATATCTCTCTTCACCTATCTTTAGGAGCTTAGCGGATGATTATCCAAATATGTCACGAGAGATGAAAATGACCATCAACAAACCTCTCAGAGTGTCATAACGGCGGTCTTCGGTATTCTAGAAACTAACCCTACTAAAAACGGAGCGTTTCAGGTTTTTCATCGATTCACCGAGAACACAAAAGAGTTGGAAAAATGAACTCAAGCCAACCAACGCGACCAACAGTTAGTGAGAGGTTACAGGAGTTATTACAACGGGACTTGAACGTGACTGATTCTATTCCAAACTAGTCAGGTTTGGACTGTCCTGAAAGCAACGAATACTGGGCGCAAATAGTGATAATCTAGCTGAGAAGCAATGTGAAGGAAACTAATTTAATCTTTACTTTAACTTTTCCATCCAAGACTAGTTGGGCAGATACACGGAAATTTGGTACCCTTCGTTCGTCCAATATCCCGATGAGCAAGGAAGTGTTGTCCAAAATGTTATGGGCTTTCCTCTGTTCAGCAGATGACTCGCAGTTGCCGGAATGTCACAGTGAATACAGTGTTTGGTTGGCAAGATTTTTTGCAAGGTACTGTCACACAAGTGAGAAGCTTTTTCTAGTCTTTCTATTCTTCAGCAACTTTTAGCATTTTTGTACAGCTATCTTACAGAAACATAAGAATGATTTTATATTTCGGGTAGCGAACTCTACTAAAATTATCACAGTAAGAGCAATGAGCACACCATGCTCACAGTGAGGAAAATAACTTATTTACTACCCATCACAACATTTGAGAATTTCATATAAATATTTATTTTCGCCAAATACTTTTATTTGTATCCGTAGTTGGTTTTGACCGAATCCAGACGAATCCTTTTTTATAACTTTATGAGTGGTAGGTTAGTATAGGAATGGCGGTTTCCTTTTCCACAGTGAAATAAAAATTATCAGTAGAGAAAGTGGCTAGCACTCCCTTGGAAAGACAAACTTCCGCAAATCTAAGAGTGAACATGTATCTATATTGTCAGGAGTGAAGTTTTGACATAATCGCTTTTCTCTGGTAATCATCACAGGAAGGAAGTTTCAGGGCAAATATTATAACTAACTTATCAACTTACATACAAAGCGAAAATTCCGATGTGGATATAACAGGTAACACGAAATAACCGCTGTTGGTGATCCATGAGTAGCAACCGAGTACGGTTCTCCCGTTATTTATTTAGACCTTCATTTGTTTGAAATGAACCGGCGCCGTAGTGTTCATCACTTAATTGTTGAGTTGCTGATTATTTATGTACTGTGCACACGCCATTCGAAAAACAAAGTGACATCGAAATTAACCGTGTATATGGCAGAAAGACTCTGCAATTCCATTTTAGTCACTATTAGAAACAGATTGCCGTACCAAATTATCCAGTTTTTTCTTGCTATACAACGAAACAGTAATCAGCTGAATTACCCTACACCTGTACCTGACTGTACGTACCTGTACCTGATTTTGCACGTCACATATCAGCAGATAAATTTCGACGGAAGCCTTTCTTCCAGACTGACCATCCCGTCAAAATGATCGGGTCTTCATATAAGTCAGTGTTCCACTTAAGGGTATTAATTATCTATATATTATATCTCCTATAATTATCTCCTATAATTTGGTTATTCGTATCTTTGAGGATCTTCCAAGTCAATATTCCGATGTTGTGATTCCAACTTATTTTCGTGTGTTTTACGTTTAACCTCCAATATATGCATTTGGTTTCTCTCCGCCTCACAGTAAAACTCATGTCACTGCGACGTGCTCAGTCTACTCTCTTCCGTACAACTTTGAACCGTCAGACTTTTGGGATCTGCCAACTTTTTTCTTGTGATCATTTGCAAAACTCCCCGCCATTTATATAGCTTCAAATCTTCTTTTCGGTGAACAACTGGACAATCTTGTTATATAATAAAGCAGTTAAACGGAAGTGAGCATAATACACCATATTTTGCTATTTTCATTTAAAAATATACTTTACAACCGGGAAAGCACCAAATAAAGAGGGTTGTTTGTTTTCTGGAGACCGGTCTCCTCGTGCGAGTCTGCACCCAAAACACAATATCGTGTGTTACGAGATCCCTGCACCTAGGCCTGTCGTGTTTGTAACAGTGTTCCGTTCACGTGTTAAGTCTTTCCCCCTAGCATTAAAACGCCCTGAAAATTGTAAGAGTCAATAGAATGTCATGTTTTACTTTTTGAATCAGCTGATGAAACAGTGAAAGCCTCAGTGGGGGAAGGGAGAATTCAATCGCGTAGCATCTCCCGGCTTTGAAAGGAGTTTGCGATTTTTTGAAGCCTTTAATACTGGAAGTTACACTCGGTTACGAAGCTTCTACCCACTGGAGTAAGTTGAGAACCTCTTTATATCGATCCGACCTGACAATAAGATGGATATTCCCAGGTCATCCGTGGTGACAGCCATCTTGGTGAACATCTACTGACGATGTATCCAGTTTCACCCAAATTCGACAAATGACACGTCAAACTTCCAGACTATAAATGATGCATTTATCTTAGTATGGGGCTAACTAAAAAACGTCTGATGTCGCTGAAAGTACTGAAAGTATACTCTATTATTCGTTTTTTCCCAGCGTACTTTAAGATAAAGCGTAATACTATTTAATCACCTTGATCATCTTTTGGTCAAAATTCACCATGTTCATGTATAGACCTTGTCCGAGGGCATTTTCAGGAGATAAAATATTGTGCATGAACTTTTTATTTAAGGCGATTTCAACATTATCAGGGTTGCTCTACAGGTTCACCTCAACGTTTACCCCCTGAAGTTTTTGCGGCAAACTTCTGGTGAATGTGACCCGATACCTTCCATCAGAAAGCTCACAATAACAAAATTTATCAATTGCGGCCCCATAAGTAACAGTCCGCTGAAAAATCACATCCAGGGGGTGATAGCGCACTGTTTTTTGTACTGCCACCATCATAGAAAGCACGATGAGCTGCACGTTTAGAAAAGCCCCCCGGCATGGTGTCAGGTTTCGACTGACCAATAACAATAAGCCTCAAGAAATAGATTTCATCTTATATCAACATGGCTTGTCACTACATGAGAGAAACAATTCTGATAATACAGAAACTCATAAAACATGTTGGACTAAATAGCACTCTGTGTCTCCGGGAGTCCACGCGAAAGTGTTTGGTTTTCCGTTGCGGATATACTGTTGTCGATGACCTCAAGATTCAAAATGATTCTGCTCACCTGCATACGTACTCTGTGAGAGGTTGCTACCAACACACACGGGTTCAAGACAGCACTTAGTGTGATGAGCAGGATGCCGACTTGTTGGAGCACAGAACCCGATGCATATGGGACTATGCCCGAGTTACCCAAAATGTATTTGACGGCTTCGTATAAATGAAGCACCAGTAGGAAACCTGCCATCATTGAAGTCGTTAGGATCAACCGTTTAACATTACTCCGAATAAACTGACTGCCTTCTTGGCCAGTAGTCGGACGACGTAGCACGTGGATGACATATGCATGAGAACTGATCATAACGAACGCAGGTAGCACGTAGTTAAAGAGCGTCCACAGATAAGCCTGTACTTCAAAGAATTGCTCGATGACGTGTCCATCGAAAGCGAACTGGGAGTTGCATTGATTCGATTCGTATCGGCGCAGGAAGAAATTGGGGATGAACAAGAACAAAGTCATCCCCACTTCGTAACAGTAGCATCCGATAATCAGTTGGATCTGGCGCATTTTATACTGACTCGGGTAACAAACGGCATAGAAGCGATCGAATGATATGCATGTTAAGTTTTGCACACTAGCCACAACTCCCAACCAGAACAAATTATCTTTGTACCAGAGATAGCAGAGAGCCTCATCCAACGTAGGCACACCTGTGTCAATTTCCGACCCAGCGAGCTTGGATGTGAATATAATCAAACAAGTGTATGCATCGATCACACTTTGAGTTCGAAGTAGGAGTGTGGTGATGCGCGAACTCATTCTGCATTGACAGAGGACGTACAACTGGATTGTGTTCAACAGTGTTCCAACAAAACCAAGGTTGGAAATTAGCAATCGCACAAGAAACGCAGTTTGATCCATTTGCATCAAGGTCCCATGTGTATGCCTGTTTACCATGGTTCTTTTTATTGCAGGGGAGATTGTACACCCACGACGGATGTGATTGGACGACATATGCCTCACCACCTATTGGGCTGAGAAAGTTGATAAACCCATGCCTCTCACGCAACGCAAATAACATGAGGATGGGAAGTATGATTGTACACACGACTTCGTTGGGAAACAGTACTCGATGGATTCTAATTTTCATGCATGATTTCTGAAAATGTGCGGAGATCCAAATCGTAACGTTTTCCTCCACTTTTATATAACTGTGTGAGTGGTAAAGGAATTTATCTACTTTAAAAATTTCACGTTCAGCCTAACCATATTTTTTTACCGAATAAATCAAGTAGACTGATTAGCAGCGGCGTCTAGATTACGCAATGATCGTTTTGTGAGCAAACGGGTACAAAAGGGAGTTTACGCATGATTTACGGTTGACACAGTCACGTCTAGTGTTTAGAATACCTGCACCACTGTTGTCCCCTCGAGAGGGAGGCGGTTATTGGCAGGTAGTCCTGAAATTTGACTGCCTCCGGTGTACGGCTGACGGTAAATTCGACCGAGCTAGCAAAATGTAGTTGAAAGGAATACTAATAAAAAAAACGCCAGAACTATGTACGGTCCGGATGGAGCATTGCATTTTTTTCTCAGACGAGCACCGATCACGAGTTTGTTGAACTTAAAAAATGGCAGCATTTGATTCGAGATTAGAAATTATTGTGGAATAACCCAAGCCTTGATGGTTGGTTCACGCTGTCATAACCCAGCAACCCAGTACAGCAATTCATCATAAGCCGACCAGATTAGAAGTATTCTGGTTGCTAGGGTCTTCCATTATATGCTGGATTGTTCGGACACGGTTAACATAATTAAAGCACGATTATACTGAAGGTGAGAAATGATAACTTGCTGCCGACTCATGTGCTACTTGATTCACTTCCTGAAGACAGAAACTAGCAGCATAAAACTTTCTCATGTTTTAGAAACAGACTAAAAATACCGAAGATCCTCGCAAACAGACTGCAGCATTGAGTTAACAATTTAGTGACCAGCGGTTTAAAAACCCACCCCGTAATGTTCAACCATCGTACAAACTGTTCGCTAAATACACGCTTAATATATCAGATGAACACCTCATTGTAAACACCACTGCCACAGACCCCGATGAAGACAGGTGATTCGAACAGCCGTTTGCCAGCCTCCAGTGACCAACTGGTAACAACATACCTCATATTGTGAAGTGTCAGTGGATTACTTAATACCGGCTAGCTTACGTGTAAACCTGGACACCTAGGGTGAACGGTTTCAAAAGTGAAAGTCAAATTTAATGACAATTTTTAGCTACTTGATTTTAGCTGACCGCATTCTGATCCCCCAAAACCCTACAGAAAGATGAGTTCGGGAAAACGGATTTATGGAGAAATTGTGCTCTAGCATCGGATTTGAGCCCATTTTTCGGTCAACCCCGAGTGAAGCGTGATCTTCTATTTACGCTGAACTTTCGGGGCTCATGATGGATCCTAGTAGACTGTGATTGCTATTATAAGTGGCCCGAAATTTCTCAGTTGTCATACGTATCCAGTTCAACTCTCTGGTTACACCTTGCCGCAACATTTGATGTAGGTTAGTCATCGTTTCCAACAATATTCCCTAATTCACTTATTGGAGCTTTACAGACTCGCAAGTTACGTTGCACCGCGCATTTATGGACACCTACCTAGTACGTGTTGTGAGTGAGAACACCTGCACGTCTTGTAGGCACGTCTAAGCGCAAGAAATTACTTAGGTGGTATTTCTTTACAAATTTACCGTACGAAGCCAGGCCAATCATTACCTCGAAATTTATCCCCCATCTAATGCGTTTACCGGTAGATGAGCTAGAATTGCCTTTGTCTCTCTAAAACCATTGCTACACATTAGCAAACGCATTCTCCGAATGAAGCTAGCTTCTAACTTCCAGTAGGATGCGCACCTGAGGAATTCCAGCAAAGATGATCCTGTGAACGTGGAAAACATCCCTGCTGGGAGTTTTGGTTCTCATCCTTGTCATTTTTTGTTCAGATTATGGGTACACTTCTCTGTTTCTACCAACGTCTATCTTATTCGATAGGAAGCGAATGGCCCCCTTCCAAACACATATTTCAGTACCTTCAGGCATTCTGTTGAACAGATTCCTAATCGGCCCGAAGGACAAACCACCCTCGAAACCCAAAATGTACTACGTTATCTGATTCGCCTCCCGCTGATCAGAATGCTGATGCGGAAACTTGTGGTAAGCCCTCGGTGTAAGGCGTACGAATGACCACTTTCGAACTATAATGTTCGGTCTAAATTATGGTGTTACACGGAATCCTACTCAATCATTTACTTGAATTATTACTCTGGCTTGTTTCCGTCACAAACACGAGTTAAATCATGCGCACCTTGGTTGTTTCACCCATCTATCAGTGTGATAGTTTTTTGACATATGACGTCTGATATTTGTTCATGAATAGACGAACTGGGCTCAAAAATATCCGTTTTTTTCTTTTACATATTTTCCTAATAATTTGAACTGTGCATGTATATGCTGATATGTCAGTACAGGACGTCGAGGCGTGCGCGTTTTCATGCCGCTTCACAGATATTACAGAAGGCGCCACGACGGATTCACAAAACATCTGCTCAGTGTAAGGTAAGATTATGATTGACGCTTCCCCATTCGTGCTTTAAGACCGCCACCAACTCAGTCTTGGCGTCTTAGAAGATTGGTTCTATGTATATTTGCTGTAGTGGTATACTGTACGCAATCGTACTAGGATGGGGTATTAGTAAATGAGTCACAATTTGGAATATGGACGATCTCCACTTGAGGATACGAGAGGCGCCTATCCTGTGCCATTCTCTTTAGACATTTCACACTTATGTCTACTGATGGTAGTGAGCTATACGTTACTCCAATGCATCAGTTTGATTATCAGATGAGTGTTGCCACAAGCCCGTACCTTTAGCCCAAAAGTGGTTTATTCACTGCACACCATGCTTGTAATACATTCATGTATCCATTACGGTGGTGTAGATTTTATTTCGATCACTAATTATGAAAGGGCTCTATGGTCATTTCATCTTAGGTCAAGTAGAACTGAAGACGCTTTAACAACGTTGTCTAAACGCAATGACAGTTCGCTTGAATTAAAAGATAGCTTCCTCTGGATGTTTCGTGGGTGAAAACACGAGACAAGAGCCCATACAGAGAACATTAGTAGTCCAATAGTATAAATCAAACATGCTCTGTCGGTCCAAAAAATTATTTATCTTACACGAGGCAGACTGGAACTATGTTTGGTTCCGAAGAACACACCTGAAAAACCTTGTAATGCCGAGTTCAAAAATGTTAGTGTTAGGCGGAATTCCACACCGACACCACTTTATCGCTCGCAGTTGGGCGCTGCTACGGCAAAGAGCCTATCCCGCAAAAGACTGGCCGAACGTTCGGATGGCTTGGCGGTCCGGCATTAAGGCGAGCTCTGAGTGGTCGTAAGCCAGGATCTAACGGCCAATCTCGACCGAGTACTGGTCAAATACCGTTTGCCAATGGTACATCTAGAAGACGTCAGAATTTCCAAAAAGGTTGTCGCCGTATCTATATATATATATATA